CCTGCTATCACTGCCTCTACCATAAAAATATCAGGTGAAAGAGAAAAAATATAATTACTTTGACCATATGTTTTAAATATTCATAGATTTAAACTGACAGTGTTAAGATAACTCATGTCATTTAATTGCCCAAACTGTAGCCTATTTTGCTTGCATTAAAAAATATGTATGCCATTTATCTATGGTTTCTTGTCTCACCCAGTGATTTCTTTCTCTTGCACTTGCCTTTTCCATTGTGTTGCTACCTGCTATGAGGTCCTCACCAGAACTGAGCTAATGTTGGTACCATGCACTTGTACTCCAGAATTGAATACAAGTATCATAAGGGAACTACTGTGAATAATTATATTCTATCATTTAAAGAGCCTTGAAGAAATGGATAAATTTTGAGAAACACACAACATACCAACATTGGGTTAAGAAATCAATGACAGGTAAAGATGAAATCAAATCTATAATCAACACCTCTTAACAAAGCAAACAAGAAAACAACCAGTCCCCCATGACTACCATAAGGCTTCAATGGTGAATTCTACCAAACACTTACTTTAAAAAGAATGAATATCAATATTCAAGCTCTTATAAAACATTGAATAGAAAGTCACACTTCTAACTCATTCTTTGAGGCCAAGCTAGATACAAACATCCTGACATCAAGCTAGATAAAAAAAAAAAAAAATCACAAGAAAACTATACAAACAACTCCATGAATATAGACATAAAATTCCTCAAACAAATAAAAATGGAATTCAGTAGCATAGTAAAGGATTATACCGTATAATTAACTGGGATTTATCCAAGAAATGCCAGGGTGGTTCATCACAAAAAACTTCAATCATATAACAAACCACATTAATGGAATTTAAGGAGGGAAAAATCTCATGTGACCATGTCAACTGGTGCTCGAAAAGCATGCAACAATATTCTACACACTTTGCTAAAATTACTCCAGAGTTCACAACAGAAGGAACTTAAATTTCATTAAAGGAATTTATGAAAATCCTCTGCTAATAGTATACTCAATGATGAAAAATTGAAAAATATTTCAAGATCAAGAACAAGACCATGGTCCCCTGTTTTCATCACTTCTACTCAACATTGTTCTAAAAGTAAAAATCAGTATAATTAGGAAGAAAAAGGAAAAAATTTAAAAAGAACTAAAAAAGCATCCAAATTGGGAAAAATAATATTTATTGGTGGGTGACATGATCCTATGTAGAGGTAATTGCAAAGAATACACAAAAGAACCTCTTAGACTTAATGAACACATTTAGTCTATTTGAAAAATAGATGATCAATGCACTAAATTTATTATATATGCTAGCAATGAACAAGCAAAAGAGGAAATTAAGAAAATGATTCTATTTATAATAGCATCAAAAAGGATAAATATATAAGAATAAATTTAACCAAAGAGGTTCAAGACAAAAAATATTTTTAATGTGTTCTAATTAGTCATACATGAAGTAAAAATGCATTTTGACACATTATACATAAATAGAGCACAACTTTTCCTTCCTCTGGCTGTATATGGTGCAGTCACATGGGGATTGTAATCATACATGTATTTAGAATAATAATGTCCATTTCATTGCACTGTCCTTTCCATTCCCACACGCCCTCCATTTCCTTCACTCCCCTCTGCACAAACCAAAGTTCCTTCATTTTTCCCTATCTCCCCATTATTTATCAACATTTGTTTATCAGAGAAAACATTCATCCTTTAGTTTTTAATTCTTTTTAAAAAATGCACTGTTAATAGTAAATAAAGACCTGAATAAGACATCCCATATTCATAGATTGGAACACTTGATATTATTAAAATGTCAATCTTTTCCCAAAGCAATATACAGATTCAATGAAATTCTTCTCAATATCTCAACTATAATTTTTGCATAAGTTGATGAGCAGGACCCAAAATATATACAGTATTGTAGTCATCTATGAATTGTCAAAATAAAATTAAAGGAGAAAAATAATATTGAAGAACTCATAATTCTATTTAAAAATTTACTGGAAAGGTGAAGTATTCAACACAGTGCAGTATTGACACAAAGTTAAATAGATCAATTAAACAGAATTAAGAGTCCAATAATAAATCAGACCTCTGCAGTCAATTGAGTTCTGACAATAATGTAAGTCCAACCATTGGGGAATCCTGGAACAATTAGATACAACAAGCAAAAGAATGAAGCAGGACTCCTACCTCACATCATACACAATAAATAAACTCTGAATAAACTACGGTTGACAAAAATAAACTGAATATTTGGCAATTGCTAATATAAGAAATGTTGCATATTCCCAACACACACACACACACACACACACACACACACACACACACAAACCCTGATATGTGTCTAAAGTGACAGATATTCCAATTACTATGATCTGAATTTTACACATTGTGGACATGCTTATACATTGTGTATATGTATTGAAATGCCACATATTATCCCATCAGTATGGACAATTACAAAAAAAAGGTATTATATATTGGATATTTACTGAAAGATTAGATTGGAGTTGCACTTATAAAAAAGAAACAATGAACTAGGCACAAAAAAAGAATGATAAAAAGAAAACAAGTGTTGGTAAATATGTATGAAGATGGATATGCTAATTTTCTTGGGTATAGTAACCATTTCACTATGATTGTTTATAAAAATCACAACACAACTTTATATATACTTCATTTAAGTAAAAATCAATAAACTGAAAAATTAGCCTGTTCCAAAAATGTGCTATACAACAATATTTCTATAATTAACAACATTGTATTGTGTTTAATTTTTAAGACAGTGTATTTTGTGTTAAATGTTATTACCACAACTATAAAACTTTTTGAGATATTATACATATTCCTATTTATCATATTGCCTTTAAAATCCAATGTGCATTTTATAAATGTCATTTTGAAAGTTAAGTTTTCTTCACACATACTGTGATTATATTTAAATTTTATAAGTTTTATCCAGTTTTACAATATCTAAATTGAGTAGTTTTTTAAAGCTTCATTGAGATATCATTAACATACAATAAAATACAGCCCAGGACTGGGGTTGTGGCTCAGTGGTAAAGTGCTTGCCTAGCATGTGAAGACACTGGGTTTGATTCCCAGCACCACATAAAGAAATTAAAAATCATAATAATAAAATAAAATAAAGGTATTGTGTTCATCTAAAACTAAAAAATATTTTTAAAAAATCAGTCCATTAGTTTTCAGTCAAAACAGATTGTAAACATTCTGTTCTTCTTTGTATTTTAGTTCTAGTAATCTATTATCAAGTTCACTGATTCTGTTCTCTTTCATTTCCACTCTAATATTGAACCATCTAGGAAGTTTTCAATTTTAGTTGCATTTTTCAGTTGTATAATACTTTGACAACTTCTACTGCTTTACTGAGGTTTTCTATTTTTTTCCATTGGCTTCAAGATAATTTATAATTTTATGAGGAAGCATTTTTAAAATTGATGTTCTAAACTATCTGTCAGGTAATTCCATAATATGACATCTTAGTTTTTTCAGTTGATTGTCATTTATCATTCAAGCTGTGATTTTCCTGTTTCTTTTTATGATGGGTGATTTTCAACTGTTTCCTTAACATTTGTCGGTAATTTAGGAGACTTTCAGTCTTATTTAATCTTTTTACTTAAGCAAGCAGTTACTCAGTTAGGTTTAGCACAAAGGTCATGGGCTAATTTTATAGATTATGATTCCAGTGATAAAATTTTCAGAATCTCTGTGGTTTTATTTTTATATGGAGTTTCTACTGATTTATCTATGTCACCGGGGTTTTTACTGATCCTTTCTAGTGCCACTTAAGTGGACAGGAAGACCTTATCCAACCCAAGTACTTGTGAGGAGATTCCTCCTGTTAGCACCAATCAATAGATCATTGTCTTTAGGTGGGAAAATGGATTCACCATTCTTCAGGGATGAATAGAGCACTTCTAGGAATGGATGTTTGTTTTAGCTTGACCCCTCTTTCTAGTCCTGAGCAGCCACTTAATTTTCTAGGTGAAGGGAAGAATTATGTAGCTTAGTAGGACAAAGAGGCTCTGCAGACCTGTCTGCTCTTTGTTGCAATATCTTCCTTTTCATTGCTGCCTAGTATTTCCAAGAGAGGGAGGAGAGGTTCAAGCCTTGGGAAGGAAAGCACTTTCCTTGGCTGTTTAATATCACTGGGGACTTTGAATTTATCTCCCTTGCCAATGTTACAAGTCTCTCATGTTGACACATGTTCCACGTGGGGGAATAATGTGACTATCCATTTTTTTTTTCTGTTGCCTGTTTACAGGTAATGAGTTGCTTGGTTTGGATAGCCATCTACTATTAAATGTGTGAAAGAGGGCAAAACACCTTATGGTTTCAATTCCTGGAATTCCTAACCAGTCATCTTCTTCTTTCCACTTTTCATAATTCTCCATGGATGGTCTTTTGCATTATTTCCCAGGGCATATTAATGGGTCCTATGCAGATCATCTGAATTAGGTTCTTTGGTAAAACACTATTTTACTAAACTTATATTAACCTTAAAAAAATCATAAGTTTCAGCAAAAAAGCCAAAGGAAAAAATAAAAAACCTTATTTGTAAGATACTTGTAAATACTCAATTGCATTAAAATAGTAAATAATTTAATACCAATCAACACATTTTATATCAATAATACTTCAATTGAATTGTAAAATTAACCAGGCTAATTAAATGTAAGCAAAATATAATATTTTATGAATTACTTTGAACATTTTAAAGCAGGAAAAAACTACCCACTGATTATTCAAAAAAACTACCCACTGATTTCAGAGTGTTGATTACTATATTTAAGATTTTCTCTGTAGTATATATAAATATTCTGAAATCAAAATGTGTTCATTGAGGTTAAATAAAGGTTAAATTTTGCCAGCTTTACAAAAATCATGACAATTTTCTCAATGGTATTCCTATTAACAGGAGATAAAAAACATTTGTTGCTTTAAATAAAAGATTACTTACTGCTCTTTTTCTAGAACACCCTGTAATCCAAGGCACAGTAAGGTTTCCTGAAATCTGTGAAAACAACAAATCAAATCTCAGTATAGTATACATTGACACTACATATAATGTTGATCAGAATGAAAAAAAATCATACGTTATTTCAAGATACATTTGCATTCAGAGCATATGCAAATGTGCATTTTTTTGATCCCTAAGTATTTAAATGGATTAATTTGTGGAAAAAATTTAGAAGTGGTGTAATATTTTCCTGCAATTTCAAGAAGGTTTCTAGGACACTGTGTGTGTGTGTGTGGGGGGGCACCAGGGTGGGGGTGGCTCTAGAATTGCTGGTGCCATGTTGGGTGTTTGGAAATCTATTGAAGATATAATTAAAATGAAAAGCAATGCCCTATGCCCTATGAAATAAGTGAAAAATTTTCAAGAACATTTTAAATAGGCATCATCATCAAGCAATAGATGAGTTCATAATGAAAGGTGTATACTATAAACCCTTTAAACATATTACGTGTGTTTACTTTCCAAAATCAGCAATAATATAATCATTACTATGTGTGCCTTATTAAATCTTAGGCCTATAATAGGAATGGATGAAACATTTTTCTCCAAACTGTGATTTCATTAGTCTATTCAAGATATCCTCCCCACTCTGTTATTAAATGGTGAAATTTAAGTGTTAATAAAAAATTGACTTTGTGTAAACAATGTATGACTGCAAAGAAAAAAAAACAGAAAATGTGAACCTTTAGGCATTATCATGTGTACATGAAACCTCTCTAGAAAAAAAATTGTGTTCCAGAAAATATGTTCTTTTTTAAGTACATTCTAGTGTTTAGCATTGGTAGTGAAATTTTGCAATGTTGCAAACCTCAAGCACATATTTCTAACACTGCATACAAGTGCTATTGATTAAATACTGTCTAATAATCCCATAAATGTTGAAACATTTTACCTTTAAAAATAGAAAAAATTATTATAGTAGCCAAGGATATAATTTCAATAATCTCTAGTCTACGTATCACACCTGAAATTGAAACAATGCTTCTATAAAATCCTATCTAATAGTATGATTATTCTTTTTAAAGTAAAGTATACTAAGACAAATGACCATAAATAAATTATCCCAGTACAGATATGCAAGGGAATAGATGAGAGTGAATTCTAGGGAGTGTTTACAAAGACTAAGGTGGTCCTGAAACTTTGGTTAATGATAACTAGGACTTAATCACATTTTTTTCATGGGATACACAAGGATTAAATAATACTCCATATTCATTGCTTGCCCTATTTCCCCTACCATACACTTGTTTCTCTCTGAGATACTGACAAGTCAAAACAGCCTTGATAGGAAGTGGTGTTGGTGTATATTCAATCAAACATTTAATGTTTTGGTAAGTTGTATACAGTGATGATTTATATAATAATATATCTCCTGAGAATGCATAATGATCAAATAGTTCATGTAAGAGTTAAGAAATAACCTTAATTATTCTAACTTCAGGTAAATTTTCAAAGTTCCTGGCCACCATACCTGCCACTTTATTTTGAGCTACAAAGATATCAATATGCAAGGCATAGGCTACAAAAATTCATAACTCCAGATACTTTTACGGATATGTAAAACATATAAAATACCATGGCAGTAAAATGACAACTAAATGGTAGAGGATATGGACAAAGTATTAATGAGTTATTTTTTCAATATTTTACTGAAAGTATAAAAAGATTTCTTCTGAAAAAAATCTTTAAAATGTATACATTCTTAATTTTCCATCAATATATAATTGGGTTTGCAAAATCAATTGATTGATAGCTTCAATGAGAAAGGTAAATCATACACCCACAAATTGCTGCTGGGACTAAAGATTGGTGCAACCACTCTTAGGTATTTAAAATCAGCATACTGCAATGATGCAGCCACAACAATGTTTATAGCACATCAATTCAAAATAGCTAAATTATATAACCAACCTAGGTGTCCTTCAGCAGATGAATGGATAAAGAAAATGTGGTATATATACACATTTGAATATTACTCAGTAATAAAAAATGAATGACTTTATGATATTTTTTTGCTAATGGTCAGATCTGGAGACTATCATACCACATGAAGTAAGTTAATCTCCCCAAAATATAAAGGTCAAATATTTTCTCTGATATACGGAAGTAACCCACAAAAAGGGGGTGAGGATGAGAGGAATATACATCTGCAAGACTGGGATCCTAAATAGAATAAGACATACTTCAATTTGTATAATATGTCAAAATTTACTATTCTGTAATGTATAACTAAAAAGAACAAAAAAAGGAGAAAGGTAAATCAGCTAAAATAATAACATAATATCCAATTGTTTTGGAATATCATGCATACATTCCCATCCACAATTCACAACTGGCTGCATAGACTTTCTAGAGAAAATATGTTAAACCAAATGAATTGAAAAAAAAAAAAAGACAGAGCCCCCAAAGAGTGATTACTGAAAAGTTGCATGATACTCAATTATTTATTCAACTCACCTTTTCTGTTCTAATAGTCTTTAGTTTCTTACATTTCTAGTAAAACTCAGGAATGGATAATCAGTGTAGCTGAATTTTTAACCTGTTTTGATTCATAGTACTGATAAATGTTTCCCTAAATTTGGGGAGTTTTATTTGGTGCAATATTGATATTAGGATTCTCACTCACTGAAAGCTATAAAATGTAATACTTAACTGAGAAGAGCCATAACTTCATGATTAAGTGATATTTTAGTTCTAAACATAGTTTCAAGATCCTGTTTTGGACAACTATAAAATGAATCTACAAGGAGACAAGGCTTATTTAACAAATATTTTAGTATTTACATGGCCAAATTAATGCTGCAAGTTTCCAAGTAGAAAATTTAAGATGTAAGAAATTCATCACAATTATGTTGCCATTGTTGAAAGTATTTTGGGAACTTCTGGATTTGTCATTTCATGCCTCATGCAAAGATTATCTCATTTCTTCACATTACTTTTATTTTAACTGAAACTACAGAGCCCAGATTGAGCATTCATATTATTCACTAACCATGGCTCAGAATGAATTCTATTTTCCAAAATCAAATTTTCCCTGAACACTTGATGATTTTTCATCACTGAAAGAATTTAAAATAATCCCTCAGGCTCTTAAGGCAATTGTAAAAGAACTTAAGAAACTTTATGACTAATTAAACATTATTAAAATTAGTGTATATAACTTTCCAAAATAAATATTTTGAATTCCATTCAAATGTCTATCAAGCATATGAAGTGCTATTTTGTGTGCTACAGGAAATAAAAGGTAATTTCCTGGAGGGCAAGAATTATACTTTGAGAGAAAGAGCGAAAACAGGTACACAAAGGACTCTAATATAAAGGAAACTATGGAAATATAGACCTTTTGGAATGCTTGTAATCCCAGCTACTTGGAGGCCAATGTGGGAGGATCATGAATCTTTATATAATGATGTTTCTGCAAATATCCCAAACACACAATTTTTAAAAGTTTATTTGTTTATAATTTTGTTTATTGCTAGTATCTGAACATACTGTTATGTGAACCAGGAAAATTAGAATTATATTAATTAGTGTTTTATTAAATATAATTTGATTAAAACAATCAGGCAATAACTGGGTCTTTCAGAAAGTTCAGCTGTAACAGATTCCTAAATCAATGTTTTAACTTTCCATGGGTTGTTTTGGTATTAGTTAAGCATGAGAACCTATCAATCATTCTGCTTAATTGGCAGGGTTCCCTATGTGGTTTTTCAATTATGAGGTATACAGCACAGAGAACACTACTGGGTATATATATGATAGGCACTCAATAAATATTTGCTGATGACTGATTGAATTAATTTGGGCCTTCATTATTCACTAGCTCTGACTTTCTGAAATGCAACAAAAGGCTAAGAGTGGCAATACTCAAGACTGTTGCATGGGGTAAGATGTTGTAGGGAGGTGAGTAATAATTCTGGTTGAGAACAATGTGTTCTGGAAAAAAAGTAGAGTGTCCTGGCATATGTAAAAATCTTCTCCCCTCTTCTCTCCATCAAGTCTCCGACAAAGATTTGAGAAATTAGATTATCTTTACAGATTACTTTTAATACTACTACTTTGTGGCAAGCAATTAACACTTTAAAGTACATAAAATTTTATCTATTTAATGATAGGAAAATGATGTTTAAAAGGTTTAGTAGCTTGAAAAGTTCCTGCAACTGACATCCAAAGTGGGATTTTTTTTCTATATTTTCTTGGTTAAATTTTATAGATACAGAGAGATTAAGATAAAGGAAACTATAATTATAAGATCTTTTAATAAAATTACAATAGTACTTAACCATAACAATACAAACCTGATTTCTGGAATATTGGCAGTTTAATATAATGCAAGGATATAAGTAAAATAAAATAAATTAGTATGTGGATGATTATCTTGTGATTCAAAGGCCCTGAGTGATATACAATTACAAATTTGAATCTGAGATTATAACTTCTAGAATATTTCAACATATTATCTAATTTTACTCATAAAAAGACATTTGAGAAAACTACAAAAGTTACTTGCGATTTTCCAAAAATGAATTGTCAAGTATTAGTTTTTAATTATAATTATACTTTTATAACTGAAATGAAATAGTTTATTAATGTGTAGTCAGAGATCAGATCTCCAAACAATAGCAAAGATTTACTGTTTTTATCAAGCTGAACTGGACTCATGTTCTTACCAGAAATCATGGCTCCCTATCTACTTTACATACAATTTTATATTGAACCAAAAGATGGACTTTTAATGGAAATGCCCTGGTTACTTGTTGCACTAACTCTGTATCTACAGATGCATGCACTCTGCAATTTAAAAAACAATCAACAAAGAGAAGTCAGGAAGATTAAGTACTAAGAAGCTCTATACCCCCTGTTAGAAACATTAAATAAACAACTAATGGCTGCCTAAAATAACTTTGTAGCAACAATGAAAATCATATAAAAAATAGAGCAACCAAGCAAATACCCAATTAAGAAAATACCACATTCAAAATTTTGTGAAATTC